ACACACACACACACACACACACACACACACACACACACACGACAGACAGACACACGCACACATACACACACACAAAGAGAAACAAATGACAGTTAAGTAGATCCGGATACATAGACACACTACCTACACACACACACAGAGACAGACATAAACAGATACACACACAAACACACATGTGCTTGCACGTATGTGTGCACATCATTACAGATAATTGGCAATTATTGAAGGCCCTGGGTTTAAACCATCTACTTGGGACATCTGGGAAACCAGAGAAAGAAGAAGGGAGGCCTGCTTCTGTCTCGGGTTGAGGGCCAACACCCAGGTGTCCTCTGACCTCCACGTGTACCTACACTCACACACATGAACTCAACACGACACATACTAAAAAAACAAGTAAAACCGGCCTCCTCTTTGCCCAGCTCCCTAAATTGCCACCATGCAGCGGTCTCCTTTCCTGCTCAATCAGTATCAGAAGCCAGCCACAAGCCATTCTTTCTCTTGTTCTCTTTGCTCTCTGCTCACTGGTGTCAGTGTTTACAAGATATAATTAAGTTTCCTTTCCCACGCAATAGCTAAAGAGTCAGCCCGTTCCCACGCTGGGTCTAGTTTTCATCTCTATCTCTTTTAATAACTGCGTTTCATTGACTAGTTGTGCCATAATCTCTTTATACATTTCCCCACTGTGGTCCTGGTAGGTAATATTTAAAATTTAGGTTAAAAATAACAACACAACAAAGACTCAGATTTATAGAGCCTTTCCCTCATTTGGGGTTTTTCTGTAGTGTAAATTCCTACATGTGCAATTACCAGAAGAAAGGATACAAATATCATAAAAATGTAGCCCATAAACGCTGTTATTTTTCCTGAATCGGTCCTTATGCAGAAAATGGCTGCTCCCCACTGAGGCACTTGGTTGGAGTGAGAGGCTCTGAGATGGGTTTTATCCCCAAGACCCAGTGTTTCTAGGATGACCATGGTAAAGCCTGCTGCTGACTGTTAACTCAGGAAGCAAGCTCCCTGGTGCTGAATGTAGGCTTGCATTCCTGGGACCTCATGATGGCAGTGAGGCTGGGGTAGGACACACAAGGAGCTGTGGAACGGGAAACCCCTGGCATGCCGTGATGCTCACATCGTCACCCCAGTTAACAGACAGACGGAAGGGGAAAACTTATTTTTCCCTCTCTCAGAATCTTTGAATTATCTCTATCAGAACGACTCCAAGTCTTGAACCCATACTCGGAGATTCAGTTAAAACTGGCAGGTCTGTGTCCTGCCATCCAACCCACCCAGCATTAGACTGACTGGAGGGCAGCCTGGGGGCCGGGATGGATGGGGCAGCATGTAGTGGCAGGGGCAGTTGGTCTGGCTTTGGGCCAGGTGAATGAGACCTATCCACTACTGCATTCAGCTGGAAATAAGGAAATGGTTTCGCTGATGTTTCCATTCCCGAACTCCCTGGAGAGAGTGGGAAATAAATAAGTGACAATAACAGATTGCACACTGTCACTATGGGCACTTCTCTGCCCCCAGAGAATTGATTTTTAATAACAGTGCAGATGACATGTGGCGGGAGTTGTCGCTGACATGGGTGTTTTGCAGGTCTTAATAAATCACACCAGTCCAGAGCCTCTGGAATGGACCAGGTTGCTGGATGCTGTTTGTTGATGGCACTGAGGCAGGAGGCTGGACTCAGCACACTAGGCCAGTTACTTCATCAGCCAGGCCTCAGTTTTCCCATCTCTAAAACGGGTATCATCCTTTCAAGCTCACAGCACTATTGTGAAGGATCAGGAGAAGGAATGGCCCGGCCTGACCTTTTCAAATATGGGGGTTACTCTTACAATAATGACGAACTAGAAAAATATAGGTGAGAAGTTTAAGAGGAGGATGACATCTCTACCGTCATGAGGAAATAAATCTCTTAAAGGTGATAGCGGAAAAAGCCACAACACCTTCCTTTATCAATAAAATAGCGCAAGGTAGAAAGGTATGGACCTGGAGTTGGGGCAGCACAGTGTCCCCCTGTTCCAGCAGCTCCCACTGAGACCAGAACAACAGGTGAATCATTGTTCCACAGTCACAGTAGCCAGAGCTGTGGTGTGCTCTTTCAACGCCACATCTCATTTAATCCTAAAATTCGGAGAGGCAATTACCATCATCATCCAGTTTTCATGGGTGAGAAGACAGACACAATGGAGGGCAGAGCCACACTTGGGAACTGGAAGGGTTCTGGAGCCTTCTAGTTTTTGTGTGCAGCTCATCTGCCTCAATGGAGCTGCCCTCAACTCTGGGGTAGGACAGAACCAGGCAGGTATGAGGGTTAATGAATGAGGAGGATGCAGTCTGTGCAAACCTGTCTGCAGAAATGCAGGGGAAGAGCTCAGGTATGGTCAGGACTCTTGATTTCCCAAGAGAAGGCAGACATCAGGATTTGCTGGTTATACTTAAATGCTGGCAACTTGTTAAAACTTTGACCCTTTTTTTTTGGAGACAGGATCTTGTTAAGTAGTCCAGGCTAGACTCAAATTCACTAAATAGTCTAGACTGGGTTTGAACTCATGTTCTTCCTGCCTCAGTCTCCTAAGGACTGGGATTACACACATGTGTCATTGTACCCAGACCTAAAACCTTTGGTTTTTTGTAAAAGATACTTGTAAGCCAACCTTCTGAGCATGGATGGCGCCTGGCCTTCCAGCTTGTCATCTCTGGTCCTTGCAGAGGATGCCGCACCACCCTTCTGAAGCCATAGTGAGCACCTGGGAGCAGCCTGCTCATCACAGCGTGGCCCCATGCCCCACTCTGTGCTTGTGAGAGGGAGGACACATTAGTGTAGCCTAATTCCCTCATCACAGGGTGGGGTGACCTATCGGATACACAGCCAAGTGCAGACTGGAGGGTTGAGTGATTAGCTAAAGGTTTATGAGTGGCAGTGTGCTGAGCCTCAGGAATGGCTGATTCATAGAGTACATTCTCTTTACCCCACGGAGTAAATAAGGGTGGCTGAGTGGCCGTGAATGGTGGCCAAGGACGGTGGGGAAGGCGAGAGCTCATGCTATTATCCATGTAAGCAGACCCAAGGCCCCAAGACTCACAGCACTCGGAGTGACCGTAGCCCATTGAAGGCATGGACAGGGATGCATCTCAGCCGGTTGTAGCTCAGGATCCTGTGGAAAGAGAAATGTGAGCCTGCTGACTGCTCCTGTTCTTGTGGGTACACTGTTTACACTGTGGATCCATCAAAGCAAGTGTTTCCTCCCATTTTCCTGGGTTAATATATCGACAAAGGGACCATAATACAGAGGGAAGAGAAACCTCCTACCACTCCGGGAAGCTCCTAAGCTGGTCCCCCCCCCCACCAATGTTCCACAGCAGACTGGCTCTCTAATCAGCTTTCCCACCCCACCCCCCCTCCACTGTCAAATGGTGTGTGCTTACAACGTGCAGAGCTAATGGGAAATAAATGGGTCTGAGCAAAATATAATTGTGTAGGAAACCCTCCACTGGGAAAGAACACGCATGTATCCCAGAAGGCATTCCAAAGGCAGCCTTCTTCAGAGGTAATTAGCTTACAGTTCCTCCATCTGCCAGGCCCCTACCTCTCCTTTCTGTATCTTCTGATGACTAAAGTCTGCCTTTCACTAGGGCAGCCAAAGCCCCAAGGACCAAGCCAGCAAGGTGCCGAGGGACTGAGGGGCTACAAGACTGGGTGGCCATGCCCATGAACGTTAAACACGAGATGCCGCTGTACTCACAGCGTGGAGAGGTGGGACATGTTGCTGAAGGTGTAATTGGTCAGCATGCCGATGCTGTTGTTGCTCAGGTCACTAGATAAGGAAAACAGAAAAGCCATGAGTTCCTGTTAGCCGTACCTGAGGGAGCCCACAACCTACTATTACATGAGTATACCACCTATCAATCAGTCCATTCACTACCACGCATGCGCCCATTCATCCACCGATCCATGCACTCATTCATCTGTCCATTCACCCACTCACCTATTATTCCCTCACACATGTGATTATCTGTCTAGCTGCATACTCACTCATCTCCATTTGTCCATCTGTATGTCTACCCATTCTCATATTTATCCACTCACTTTCTCATTTTCCAGCTGTCCCGCTATCACCCATCCATTGATCCAAATGTTAATTTTCCCATTCACATTGTCCTTGCCCACCCATCATCCATTTATAAACTCATTCATGATTTAATCATTCAATTACATGCCTATTCATCCATTTCATTCTAACAAAACCTAACACATAAGAAAACAATTTCTCCCTATTCTAGTATGTTTCTTCCCCTGATCAAATCTTCTTTTCTCTTCCTTCCTTCCTTCCTTCCTTCCTTCCTTCCTTCCTTCCTTCCTTCCTTCCTTCCTTCCTTCCTTCCTTCCTTCCTTTTTTAAACTGAGACAGGATTTCTTTGTGTAGCCCTGGCTGTCCTGGAATCTGTAGACCAGGCTGGCCTAGAACTCAGAGATTCACCTGTCTCTGTCCCCTGAGGTCTGGGATTAAAGGCAACAACCACTATTGCCTGGCTAAAAAAATGTGTAGCCCAGGCTGGCCCCGAACTCACGATCTTCCTGCTTCCATCTCCTTCAGAAATCCTACTGGCGTGCACCAGCACAACTGGCCCCTGGTCAACTCTTATCACCAGCCCTCTTTCTGTCATTTATTTATCTCATCTGATCCATCTCTTAGGAGGAACAACGCTGGTGAGAGAAGAGATCTCTATCCACTACAGCCTCCTGGCTTTTCCTTAGAGACAAATTCCCAGAACAGCAGGGTGATTATTAGCTGCACAATGGAATCACCAAGGAGCTTTTGAATCTTCTGAAGCCAGGGTTCCCGGCCTGTATATTCTGGTGAAAATGCTTGTCTGTGGGCGTGGCAACAGTATGAAATGACAGCATGAACAGCTCCTCCCTGGGCAGTTCCCCACAGCAGAAGTCCATGACCACGGCTACAGAACAGTGGTTCTCAATGGGGGGCACTTTTGTTCTACCCTGACACGTCCCAGACATTGTTCTGGCTGACTCTACTGAGAAGTGCTACTGGCTTCCTATAGAGGCCAAGGTCATTGCCTCATTTCTCATGATAATCCCGACATCTTTCCTAACCAATAATGATCCGGTCTCAGATGTCCATAGCTCTTAGTTTGAGAAATGTTCATACAGATATTGGGGACCAAACAGAGGCTTTCTGGAACTTTTCATTAGTGGGCCTCTGATATTCACTGTGAAAGAACCCTGCTTGTCTCTTGTGGACTGGCTCCTACCCCTCTCAAGCAGACATGGGCATCCATCAATTACCCAAGTAATAACTTTACCCCTCTAGGTCCCACCAAGGCAGAGCAGTGACATTATTGAGGGAGAGAGCTCATGGGTCTCTCCCACGCCCAGGTTCTCCGGTTCCCATTCAAGGGTTTTCAGGCTCTCGGAGGCCTGAAGCTTGTAGTGGGCATTATTGAAGGCCCTTAGTTTAAACCATCTACTTGGATATCTTCTGGGAAACCAGAGAAGGAAGAAGGGATGCCTGCTTCTGCTCCTGGCAGATCTAAGTGTGGCCACAGTTTGCAAGAAACTGGAATTCCAGAAAGCTCAGGCATTCAGCTTGGGGCCTGGAAGGTCAGAGGCAAGCCAATGGGAAGGTAGGTCAGAGCCCATAATGATACGCTTTGACTATTTCCACACACGGGCCTCGCTGGGCAAATCCTCCAACATCAGCCTGGTCCGTTTCCTCCCAGCTGTTTCTCCCTGCATGGCCATGCAGGCATGCAGGTTGAGAACTGTTGCATCTGTCATAGCAGGCACTGTTCTCTCTTACTCCCCATGTCCCACACCATCTCAGGAAGGAGAAACAAAGGCCTGCCTAGTGGCAGGCTCCTTACATAAGCGTCAGCTGTCGGAGCGAGGACAACTCTTTGGGCACCGCTGTTAAGTGGTTTCCTTCGAGGTACCTGAAAGAGAGGTGCAGAGTGATAACACTGGGAAGGAGACCGCACACTAGTCCCATCCTCTGAGAAGCGCCCCCATGAGTTACCTCTTCATACCTCCACCCCTCCAACATCTGTCATCATTGTATAACTGTGAGATCACGCAGTCGGTGATCTTCTTCTCCACTAGACTGGTAAGTTTCACGATGGCAGAGTTCTTGCTAAAATTGCCCTCCACTGTATCTTAGCAGGGCTCTTTATGCTGTTGATCCCCACAAGGTACTCAGTGCAAATCTGTTTAATACTAATAAATGAAGCAGTCACATGATGCTGACTTGTCACAGTGTCTGAGTAGCAGCAACGCACAGGTGAGCATCCACTTCCTCGAGGTTACCCAGAAACAAATAGTTGATCTAGATTCTAACCTGTTGGTTACTGGTTCCCAACCTGTGAGTCGTGACTCCTTTGGACTTAAGTATCCGATATCCTGAACATCAGATATTCACATGATTCATAACAGCAGCAAAATTACAGTTACGAAGTACAAACGAAAATAACTATGGTTGTGGGGAATCACAGCAACCTGAGGAACTATATTGAAGGGCTGAAGTGTTAGGAAGGTTGATAACCACTGATCTAGATATAAAGTCATAGACTAATCCCAACACAGTAACAGTGGATGATGACTTCAGTGCCCCATTCCCACCAACAGACAGTCCCTCTGGACAAAAAAAGTAAACAAGGAAACAACAGAATTAAATGACACCACAGATCAAAAGGACGGAACAGACATTTACAAACTGTGCCACCCAAATGCTGCAGAATACATATTCCTTTTCAGTAATCCAAGGAATTTCCCCTAAAACTGATCGCATATTAGGACATAAAGCAAGTCTCAGCAAATACTAGACAACTGAAATAACTTCTTTTATTCTGTCGGATCACAGTGGACTAAAGTTAGACATCAAGAAATAGAAACCAGAGAAAATTTACAAACCCATGGATATTAAACAACACACTGTAGAATGATGAACGGATGGGTCACTGAAGAAACCAAGAAGGAAAAAAAATTTTAGAATTGAATAAATGCAGATGGATCATACATAAACCTATACAATATAATGGAAGCGGTCCTAAGAGGGAGGTTCACAGCTGTAAGTACCTACTTTAAAAACCAGAATGACCTCAATTAAATAATTAAATGATGTTCTTCAGGGCCTAGCAAGACAAGAAAGGTCAAACCTGGGCTGGGGAGAGGGCTCAGTGGGTAAAAGTGTTTTCTTCCAAGCCTAGTACCCTGAGTTGGATTTTGGACACTGTTTAGGTGGAGGGAAAGAACCATGCCCTACATGCTGTCCTCTGTCCTCCACATGTGTACGCATGCACATTCACACACGAAACCAGCATTATCCTGACACCCAAACCAAAGAAAGACACAACAGAAAAGAAAAGCCTAGACCAATCTCCCTGATGAACTTAGATGCCAAAAAAAATCTCAATAAAATATTTGTGACCTGAATTCAAAAACACACCAAAAACGATCACTCACCATAAGCAAGCTGGCTTCATTCCCGAGAAGCAGGGACCATTCAACATATGCAAATCAATAAATATAATACATCACAAAATGGACTCAAGGACACTGAAATCACAGGATCAAGCCAACAGATACAGACAAAGGCCTTTGTCATAACTGAATATGTTTTCATGATGAAGCCCCCAGGAGGCTAGGAACAGAGGAAACATACATAACTAAAGGTGTCTACCATGACGTAAAGCCAACAGCATGCTAAATGGAGAAAAAGCAGTTCGATTAAAGTCAGGGACAACACAAAGGTGTCTGTCCACTGTCATCTAGTCAATATAGTGCTGGAAATCCTACCCGGAGCAGGAAGAGAAGGGAGTAAAAAGGATACAAACAGAACGGGACGAAGTCAAATTGCTTTATTTGCACATTCTATGCTTTAATACATAAGACTCTAAAGACTCCACCAGGGGGGCTGGAGAGATGGCTCAGCAGTTAATAGCACTGGCAGCTCTTCCAGAGGTCCTGAGTTCAATTCTCAGCACATGGTGGCTCCCAACCATCTATAGTGGGATCTGATGCCCTCTTCTGTCATGCAGGCATCCATGCATGTGGAGCACTCATATACATAAAACACATGAAAAAAAAAGACTCCACCAGAAAATTCTGAGAGCTGATAAACACTTTCAGTCATGTGGCAGGCTACAAAATTAAACACAAAAATCAGCAGCCTTCCTATATACTAACTATGCAAACAAATAATTAAGATCTGAAAGAAATGAGGGAAATAATCCTATTCACAACACACTAAAAAATACAGAAAAAATCTAACAAGACAAACAATGAAAATGTTAAAACAAGGAAGAAGGAAACAGATGAAGATACTAGAAGATAAAAAGACTCTCATGCTCATGGATTGGAAGACTTAATCCTGTTGAAGTGGCTGGCCTACCAAAAGGGATCTACAGATTCAATGCAATGCCCATTAAAATTCCAACATCATTCTTTACAGAAACAGAAAACAACAACAACAACCCACTGAAACTCATATGGAAGCACAAAGGACCCCAGACAGACGTAGCAATCCTGAACAAAAAGAGTAGTGTGGTAGTTATCACTGTGCCTGATTTCAAGTTATACTACAGCGTGACAGTGATAAAAAGGCAACGTACAGGCACAAAACCAGACTCAGAGCAATGACAGAGGAGTGAGAACTGAGATACCGGCCATGCAGCTACAGCTAACTGATTCATTACAAAGTTGCCAAAACCAAACCAAACCAAACCAAACCAACAACAAGAACAAGAACAAGAACAACAACAACAACAACAACACACACACACACACACACACACACACACACACACACACACACACACACACACACACACACACACACACACACACACACACACACACACAGGAAAAGATATAGTCTCCTTAACAAGTGGTGCTCAGGAACCTGGACATCCACAGTACAGGAATACAGCTGGCTCCTTTCTCCAACCCTGCACAAAGCCAACTGAGATCGAAGACCTTAACGTGAGATCTGAAACTCCAAAGCTGAAAGAAAATGAAGACCTAGGCACAGCTAAGGAGTTTCTTCCCCGACTCCAGTCACTCAGGAAGTAAGGTCAACTAATGACGGACAAAGGCAACTTCATGAAATTAAAAAGCGTCTGTAATGCAAACAAAACAAAATATCCTGCAATAACCCAGTTATGGGAGAAGACAGCCTATAGAATGGGAGAAAAATCTCTGCCATGGATACATCTGACAGTTGATTAATATCTGAAATATGCAAACAACTTAAAAAAACCTGAAGACACAAACAAACAAGCAAAAAAACTCAGTGAAAGAAATAGGCCGAGGGACTTAACAGAGAATTCTCAAAAGGAGAAATATGAACGGCCGATAAATATTTTAAAATGTGCTCAACATCCTTAGCCATCAGGGAAATGTAAATGAAAACTACTCTGAAATTCCATCTCACCCCCAGTCAGAACGGCTATTATGGATAAAACAAATGACAACAAACGCTGTCCAGGATATGTGGAAAGGCGGACTGTTGCTCACCGTCAATGCGAATGCAAATGGTACAGCCACTATGACATCTGTCTGGGAGGTACTTTAAAAGCTAAAAATAGAACTTCTGTAGGACCCAGCTCCAGTACTCCTTGGTATATACCCAGAAGACTCTCCATCCAACCACAGAGACATTTGCTCATCCACGGTCATCACTGTTCTAGTCACGATAGCTAGGAAATGGATTCAGCCTAGATGTCCATCAACCGATGAACAGATAATGAAAATGTGGTCCATGTACACATGGAATTTTATTCAGCCGTAAAATGAAATTATGAAATGTGCAGGAAAATAGACGGAACTGGAAACATTAGACTGAGTATGGTAGCCTAGGTTTGGAAAGACAAACGCTGAACATTCTCTCCCACACGCAGAGTCCAGCTTCTGATTTTTATATATGTGCGTTTATGTGGGGAACAATGTGTGTAGAGCTCAGGAAGCTAGAAAGGGGCCAATCAGAGAGGTGGGAAAAGATTCTCCAAGGCAAGGGGAAGTAATAGAACATGTGTGGCATAATAGTGGACTGGGGAAACAGAAAAGGTTTACATGGGGATGGGAGGCAGGGAGACGGGGAAAGGAAAAGTAGGTGTGTGTGTGTGTGTGTGTGTGTGTGTGTGTGTGTGTGAGTCCAAACTAATGATGTGTGAAAAAGCCATAAGGAAATCTGTTACCTGTAAGCCAATCAAACGTTCTATTAAAAATGAAGCTTGAATGGAGGTTCAATGTGTGGGTGGATAAAGCTGCTCCTAGAAGCCACAGGTTATTGAATGAAAGCCTCAGTGCCATATGTGAGATACTGCTGTTAAGAGTTGTTCAGGGAGGTCCCTAAAACTGCCCCCCCCCAGACATTACACACAACTGTCACTGCTGTTCATTGCCTACCAGAACTGGACGGGAAACCCCTATCTTTGAAGATACTCGATGTCTTGTGGGCAGGGCATGGAGAAACGAAGCTGGAGCTGTGCTGATAACTTCCACTGTATTACAGGGGGTTCTGTAGCCTACCGAGGGGAGCTGCCATCAACACTCCTAGTCAGCCGTGTGACACTGCCACTGGCCAGGTAAGTATGCACTGTAAACAAGGTAAGTGTGCGCTGTAAGCAAGGTAAGTGTGTGCTGTAAACAAGGTAAGTGTGCACTGTAAACAAGGTAAGTGTGGTAAGTGTGCACTGTAAACAAGGTAAGTGTG